CAACTCAATCACTTCTCTGGCCAGGAAAAGGGGAAAAAAAACTTCATGGTTTGTTTGCACCGATCTAACAAAATATTCTGCCCACACAGGAAATGGCACTCAACAGGATAATAAAGCAAAATGAAATTGGGCTAAAGACGTAACACACATAATTTTTATTATAAAAATGCAAAGATTACAAAAAAAAAAAAAACAGCAAGATCCAGCACTCACTTAGAAAGTGTGGGGAAAACCAACCGTACCTTGCTGCGGTCTTCAAAGTGCCGTATTTTGAACTCCGCGATAGCATCACGGTACATCTTTCCGTACCGCGTAACCTGCTCCATGCTTAACAACAGAGCCTTGAAAGTCAGGTCTTGGCTGGAAGGACAACCAATTCAGGAAGGCAATTAACATAAACACTGAAACTCAAAATGGTACGTTCTGATATGAAAATGTGTGCACTGTATTTTAAGTATTTTTCTGAAATCACTATTTCATTTTATTCAAGTTTGGTAGGTACATGACAACAGTGAAATGCTTCAGGGGAACTTTGCGATACTTCTGAAGTTGGCAGCGTTCACGGGATTATCGCCGTTACCTGATCGTTCGCGTCACTTGCAGATTCTGGTCAATCATCTGGAAGATGATGAGTGGAGCAGATGTATGGAAGAAGCCCTGGTCGTCCCCTTCTGGAGCTGTCCCATTGCCCCAGTCCAACTTCTCTGTATCCAGCGTCTTCTGCATCCATTCCACATAGTTTGTCTCCATGTTCTGCAAACACACGGCTACCGGTTAGACTTCCGGTGGTGACGTTCAACCTCAACCCGACTTTATCCGCAGCACCGAAACTTTCACATTTTCTGGGCTGTTTGATAGTGACCAACCGGTCTTTGTAATTGAGAAGCAACGTATTTTCTTTGCAGTGCGTACAGGATTTTTAAACAACGGCTTCAGCCTCAAAGTGCAAAAAGAAACACTGGACTGATTGTTGCACAGAGCAGTATTTACTACCGAGTCTGTACCTTGAGGTACCGCCGCTGGAGTTCGTCCACCTCCGCGTTTATAGACGAGGTGTCAATATTCAGTTCTGGATGCTGCATCAGCTCTGGACCAGCGTACGTGTTCATAATCCACGACAGGATAGACACATACTCATTTCCTTCCAGCCCATTTTGTATCACTTCCTGCAGCTGCAACACAAGATCAAGGCGACTCAAAATTATTTGTTACTGACGTCTTCTCATTTAAATTCATCTTTACCACATTTACTGCCTACTTTTCGACTGCAGGGATTATAGGGTGTCACTGCGTTAGCACTAACTTCCTGCAGCTGCAACACAAGATCAAGACGACTCAAAATTATTTTGTTACTGACGTCTTCTCATTTTAATTAATCTTTACCACATTCACTGCCTACTTTTCGACTGCAGAGATTATAGGGCGTCACTGCGTTAGCACTCTTGTATTTGAAAGGTCATGGGTTCAAAATCCAGCCCTACGATTGTTACCCTGAGCAGTTCTCATAATCTGTAGAGTCAAATATTGTGAAGATATTCTTGTGAAATGTTCGACAGGTCTGGCCTGAGAAATATTATTTCACGAAACATTCATCTGTGAAAAAACAAGAGTCCAGGTCTAGTACTGCTGCATTATTTCTGATTTAGAAGCACATCAATTTGTAATTTATGACCAGCTACCAGTTTCCTTTCCTTTCAGAATGTTCAAACGCATTACAGACAAAGAGGGGAGATCGGAATAACATATTACTGAAGAAAAAAGGTACTTACAAACTAATGGGTGACCAAACACGGCAATGAAACAATTACTGTTAGTGTTGCACCTTACGTTAGGCTATCACTGGTTGACGTAACTAAAGAAGATGCCATCTGTATCTAGCATAACGATAACATGATTATTTTTAACGAGTATAATTGAAGTTAGAACAACCTAAGGCAGAATAATCTTACTTATTCACAACGACAATCAGACAATCCTTCTGACATGTTTAGGTCACCTGTAAATACACAGAAATTTAGAGGGGGAAGGTCCACATGTACAAATATTTTATGGCGGGCACTCACAGAACGGAGGATCTTTCTCCAGTGGTGAAGTGGACACGGAATGAGACTGACCACTCACCTCCATAAAAGCATAAATATTAAGAATACGTGTAATTTTATTTCCGCTCCCCCTGCATTCAGGAACAACTTTACCTTAACCATGCACCGACAAAACCGATTCGGCACAAGAAAACCGCATTCCTAATGCCAGCAGAATTCTACTTACATGACGGGACAGGCTGGTGTGGTACATGTGAACAAACTTGTTCACAACGTCATAATGTGGGGGGAAGCACGGTACGCACAGCGTCTTCACCACACGCAGATCCTCTAAGATGAGCTGCCGTGTCAGCTAAAACAGAGAACGTCAACTCCGTGGCACAGGTCAGATCTTCCTGAGCAGACGATACTTAATCAGCTCACTGAGAGATTCCCTGCTGCTGTGCGACACACTTGGTGTCTGACCCAGCCCAGTCCATACGTTCAAACCCAATTTCTCCGACAGCAATTTTAATATCTTTAGGGTGGGATGGGCAATGTATTCCTGAGCGTGGTTAGTCTCGTCTCTGATGACGAGTCTGCATGAAAGGTTGATTTAGAAGAGAATGTGGCCAGTTTCAAAGAGGGATAAGCTTGCTCCCACATATATTAGGGGCATCCAACACAAACCTTAGAAATTTAATCTCCAAGTATATCGGGACAGATAGGGTACAGAGAGAAAATTTACAGGAAGTCTTTCGCATCCTACACGTGCGAATAAACTGGAACGTGAACACACCTCCAGGTAGCGAACCAGCCACATCTTGTTATCGGCCCGTTCCTCAATCTGTGTACCTTCGACTCTTTGTTCCACAGCTTTCTCCAGCACTTCCGTTCCTTTCTCGCGCCACTTTTTCGGACGTCCCGGAGGCAGAAATCCACTCTGCCTTTGCCGCTGCATACAAAACAGTCAAATAAGTTGAATTCAGAATTTCAGTACGCAATGCCAAGAAGTTCAGCGACAGTACATTGTGCCTCTAAATGAAAATGACGGCAAGAAAGTGAAAATAACAAACAAGACGCAAATCAATCTACCACACCTGTAACGCAAAACTGTCTGCCTTCTCCTCTCTCTCAATGATTCGTAGCGCAGTGACAATGACGGTGGGTTCCTTCCTCACGGTGTTGAGCGTCCTACTCAGCACGAGACGGAGCTGCTTCTCCAACAGCTGCGACAGCACCTCCACATCTTCAAAGTACGCCTTGAGCATGATCTTGTCTGCAGGGGCCTGGTTAGGCAGCTTGTGCAGTTCATAGAGGAGATCATCGCGCGAGTTTTCAAGATCTGTCAGGCTCTGCAGAGCAAGCAGAATTGACTTGACTTTCATACAAGTATCCTCTTCTCAAAATCATACTAACGGCCAATGACTGTGCGCACAGGGACATAAATTATCCAAGAACTAATGAAGTTGTGTTTCCACTTTGTGGAAAGTATTTTACTAATATCAACGAAAGTAAAATGCGTCTGATAACATTTTCTGTAGACGTGTGCCCTCAAATTTAAATAAAACATGTTCAATAGGTTTGCAGTTTGACACACATGTACGGGTGACATAACCTCACCATGATGCAGTCTTTAAATTCACCTTGTACAAGGAACGTGTACCAAAAGCCAGAGAAAGACGAGCGTAATTACTGTTGCGCTGTACCTGATGAGTGTGCAGCAGTTTGCCTTCGCTGATCCACTGCTTCGTCTTCTCGACGCTCTCTGGCACCGTGAAGATGTGCTTCAGATTGTCCATGGCTGTCACGTACTGCGAGTGTCTCATGTTCTCATCACGGACATCTTGCAGCTTTGCGTACAGTGCTGGGACGGCACAAAATGACTCTTCAATCCACTTCAGACTGGAAATAAACAGCGAAAAATGCGCTACGCAAACTTGTTCGCATCCACCGTCGATTAGAAGCTCATGAATGCGACGTTCTTAAATCTGAGGTCACTTCTTTGTTTCACATGTTGCTATTAGTCCACATTATCAGGTTAGGTTATATCATGGCACTGTTTCAACTGCACAGATTATCACGATGTAAAGATGATCATGAAAGGTGAGTACATGAGGTGGCA